AAAAACAGAAAAAGGGACTCTAACCATGGAGAAGTAGCTACAAGATTGGCTCTGTCTGTACGGCAACTAAGCTGAGTTTTATCCGGTTTTTCACGGTAAGCTCCACTGCCAGTAAGTATGAGTGCGAATAACCAAATAATCGAGAAGCAAATCAATACAGAGAATCTTTCGAATACGGGGAAGCCCTTCACTGGCCTCAAATGCTTCATATACTGCAGTTTGTATGTATCGCGTTATTTTCAAGAATAATACTATTATTATCAAACAAAAGAAAGAAAACAGAAAAGGAAAACGAGCAAGATCTTCAAATTGACGTTCGGTCGTTATAAATATATACATTTACCTGTGAAAAGCCAATAACTAGAAGAAGCATAGGCAAACCGATCTCCACACAATTCCCTAGCTGCAAAACAGAGAGAGTGATTTGTATAGCAAATGCATACTTCTATTTTTTACCATAATAATAATTACTTTAGACGAGTAATTCATGTTATGTTTATATGCTAGTTAAGATTTTCGTATGGAAAAAAGGAGATGATATAGGAAAAAAGGATCTTTACTGCAGGAAAGCCTTGTTGAAATAAGCCCAAACCAACCAAACTGACCATAGGCGCCATACCAAGAGGACTGAAAAATCTGAAATTAATGCATAAACTCCATAAATAAAACCCGTAAGTTTTTTTCTTCAACATACGAAAGAAAATGCTTCTAGAAGTTGTCGAAAATTGAGCATAAAGAATCGTATATATATACCGGGAAAACAGACCCCACATTTGGCTGTAGCCTATAACTATTTGTACGCTCGACGCTACAAGAAGAGCTCCTTGTATAGCTCTCATGGTATGCATGAATCTCTACAAAGAAAAAAAAAAGTCTATAAATTTGGTAGTTTTATATGGGAACTGAGTAGGATTCGAGTTAATTTGCATGCAAGACTTACCAAATGAGGATCATTGATTTTTTGTAATGACGAGTCATGAATGATGTATGTGATAGGGATGACATAAGCAAATGAGCCCCCAACAACGGCAGGCAATCGAGTTCCAAAAAGTGACTGAGCAAGCGTGTTGATGCCCGACACAAAAACCAATGTCTGCACGACACGTGTCTTGTCCGCCTGGTTAATTTGGTCCAACAAGGAAAAATATTAAAACTATGAATCGGTCGAATGTCATAAATGAATTTGTGCCACTTAATGAAAAACTAAAAAGAAAATGGTTAGATCATCAGCTTACATCCGATCCACCCATCATTGGGACGAGCATTGCTGGCAACATCACACTTGTTCCAAGCGTTACTATGCAGCTCTGAAATCCTAGGAGGATGGTTTGTGCTG